GCAGTTCTCTCAATTTTCCAAAGTATGGCCGAAGTAATGGTAATGAAAAGACACGAAAAATGAGAATAGAACTGGCTTACCATTTTTATCATGGTCACAATACCTTTAACCACTGCCATAACGGAGCGAAGACCGGTTACGGCACGGTCTTCAATTCCCAGACAGTAGCATTTTTACGCTTCTTCTACATAGGGACTGTCGGAATAAGGCTGTTTCCCACAATTAAAAGAAGAGAAAAAGGAATTGTTCGAGGGTAAATGGAAGGAAAGATAAAGATTGCTGATGTGCTCAAATTTTCTCGAAGTTGTGCCACGCCTTGCATTTGAGTTAGAATCAAACTGCAACGCCGCTAGACGCAATATAAGTGACGGCATTGCGGAGACAATAATTTTCAGGCTGGCGTAAATCAATTAGCGTAATCGCTTTAGTAACGGAGCTAAGGCCTCAGGTGGGGAACGAGAGACTCCAGAATGACCGTAGGTTCAAGTTTTATTTCCGTGTGGATTCTGCCCACCTCGCAGACTCTGTCCTAGAGGATGCCCCGTATACTGCAATAGCGCTCTGCAAACTTATGTCTATACAAGCACCAGCAAGGCCTTTTATGAGTCATTGACCTCATCCTCTGAGGTATATATTATATATCTAGCACCCATTTCGAAAACTTAGCACGGTTATACGAGTTCTTCCGAAGGCTAGACGGTCGAACTTTGATCATCAGCGGGACTGCTTATCAGTGAACGGCTATGTGAGCGCCATCAGGCAGGTGGGCTTGTCCGATAAATCTTTAGAAGGCAACTTTTGGGTGAACGCCATTCTTGATTTCTGTAAGTTTCTTAATCTCCTCCTATTCTTTATCCGTTAACATTCTCTGTTCACAGAGGGTACCGCAGACCTTCTCAAGCAGCCGACGGAAATTAGTCAAGGGATCAAATCCCATTAAAATATGAAAAACAGAAGATACAGCACTTGAAAAGAGAGTGGGAAGGGAAAAGAAGGAAGAAGAAAAAAAAAAAAAAAAAAAAAAAAAAAAAAAAAAAAAAAAAAAAAAAAAAAAAAAAAAAAAAAAAAAAAAAAAAAAAAAAAAAAAAAAAAAAAAAAAAAAAAAAAAAAAAAAAAAAAAAAAAAAAAAAAAAAAAAAAAAAAAAAAAAAAAAAAAAAAAAAAAAAAAAAAAAAAAAAAAAAAAAAAAAAAAAAAAAAAAAAAAAAAACTTTTTTATTATTTCAATTGGTCCCTTAGGCATTTCTGATTATTCAAATGGTTCCTGTTATCCTTGTCATAGGTAAATTTCTGGTAAAATCCACACCCGCAATAAGTTGGGCTATGTCACTAATAGCTCGAGTTGGAATGAGGCCAGTGACAAGAAGAACCGCCACCAGACGCCGATCAGTCATCGACTTCTGCCATTTGGACTAAGTTTTCCGTCGCTTATGATTAGGCCAATCAGTATCCACGATCGATGACGATTAGTAGCCGCGAATCGCCAAAGCTTTCACTTGAACTACAGAATTCAGAACTCACAGAAACCCGAAAAAAAACGGTAGGAAAGCCTATTTACAACAGTAACGCTGACCGAATTAGACTCTGGGTACCGGTTGTGTCGCTATTGATTGCTTTCAGATGTTCAGTAAGATCCGGATGGCACAGGTTCGAGCGCATGGACGTCACTCTGACTCATTCTCTCACGATGGGTGTCGTTTTTGCATTTAACCGATCGATATATGCTTTGCAGTGACCATTTCGGAACCAAGTCGATTTTATCTTTTTCGATTGACTTATCCGAATAGCTATGTGTTCCTGCCATTCAAATTCTGGATGGCAATTGAGTGCATGGCGCATCCTGAACACATTTACCAGCAGGTGCACTTAGACTTTTTCCACAATTTATGAGCTGATTTGGCCTTTTCGTATGATTTCCCCGCAAATAACTATGTGTAACACCACCGCAACTAGATGTGATTCGCGCCGATCATAGAGTACACGGAGAACACCCGGAGTTCTGCGAATTGACTTACCAATGTTACAGTGTATCGTACGGATTAACTAGAAGATAGTTTACACCACCGACTAATTGATTATATAGATAAGGAAAACATCGCGTAGGGATAGATTGACCGACAATCCTTTTTTAAGGCAACACTTCATCAGTTAGGTGATCTTTTAAAGTAGGGCTTAGGTCTTTTTTCTGAAAAACACCACTTGTACTGTAACATAAAAGTAACCTCCCCTTCAAAAAGCGAGAAAGTGTCGGGTGCAGACCAAACACCACAACTGACGACGGCCTCCAAGTAAATCTGGTTAGAAGTTGTTCATAGTGATAGCTGATTTCTGGTAAATGATAGTTGTAATTAGTGACAATCGATAGAATACAACTGCAACAGGCTAATCATTTCATTGGCAGAAAACATTAACATTTTGTGAAGGCCGTCGTCACTTGTGGTGCATGGTCTGCACCCGACACTTTCTCGCTTTTTGAAGGGGAGGGTATATACAATAAAAGAAGTGAAAATTGATGCCGCGGACGAAAGTTCACCGATTGATGTGTAACAGCTTCTATTAAGCTTTTTCTGGAGTAATTGGGAATGAGAAGGATGGGCATTTCTTGGGTCAGGTGACATTTATCGGGTCCAGAAGCCGGGCTTATTATTCTAAGGGTTTCATGAAGTTTTACGACTACGCCAAGTCACCCTTAAAACGATCACTGACTTGCCCGTTAGCAAGCCTCAGCTTGACCTACGTCTATACTTTGACTGCTGACCTGCCATGCGGTTCTTGATCGCTCCCCTCGCCCTTCCATCCTCCTCACAGTGGGGGCTTTTCATTTACCACTTCCACATCTGAGCTTTTATCTGACTGCAGTAAGAGGGGCAATCTACATAGATTCACTCTACTCGGAGTACAGAGTCCTGTACCAGTCTCCCTCAGCATTGGTTGTACTGAGATATTCATATTTAGAGCCAATGATACCAGAAAATACTCAATTCTGACAAAAAAGGCGGGAACATGATCTTTTCCTCCATCCGAAGCTGTAGGTGGACAACATTGCCCATCGTCAGCTAATAAACGTTCAGTTCAACAATGCGCGCTATAGAATACGGCAGATTGGATGCGCACAAGTCCAAGAAAAGGTCAACGTTTTTCTGGGACCGGATTCTCTGTATGATCTATGATGCTGATTAATACTCAGCGGGTGCTCTCTCCTTCTTCTGTCTTCTCTGCTCGCAGCTGAGTCTTCGTTGTTCCACATCCGAGCTCACAAGATGTTTTAGACCTTATGCGTTTTCCGTGTCTTATTGACGATTCTTTTTTTCTTTTAGGCTTTGACCAGTATACCTCCACCTTCATTCACTAAGCGCCCTTACCCCGGCAGTCCGTGACTAGCGTCTCAGCCCCTGCCTAAAGTTACACACAGCCATTAATAGCTATTTATTTTTTTTCTAATGGTATTCTATAAACCTGTTATATAACGGCTCCACCTTACAGATCTATCCTTATTTTCTACGCAACCTTATATTAGCGATGACTACACCTGTAAGATTCCATCGCTTGGAGCCAGAATACTCGCTTGCACAACAGATTGTATGCTATAGGAGGGCTGGAAATAAAAAAAAGTCGTTCTTGATGGATTGACTTTTTCTTCCTTTATTACAGGAAAAAAAGAGCGTCATGGAACAATCACGCCGTGACATTAGGTCCGAATGGTCCATAAAGCCGAATAAGTGGCTTAGCTAAAAAGGATGATATGATAGTTCCTGGCCCTGAACCTGACCCCTATTTTAGGTTTTTTAGACGAATAATCTCTTACTTTCTAGAGTTTTCTGCAAGCTTTTACCTCAACTGTAAGATATAAGATGGGCGCTATCGCAAGATAGGTGGACAACTCTTGAACTAAGCACAGGACGCCTCAGAGCAATAAAAATTGCTCAAGCACTTTGAAGTCTCACCTCCCCCGCATGAAGCTCAGGGTTGGTCCACTTTTCAGCAAAAAAAAACTGATGCTTCACACGGTTCTAAAAGCATTGCCACCACAATGCCCCCGGATCTTGTGATAGCGCCTACAAGACATTAGAAATGCAGTACAGCTATATTTCAAGTTCAGTCACAGCCTCTTGCAAGCTTCAGTGTTCCGGTTTGATGATCAGCCGACCACCCTGAGTCCAGCTCTAAAAAAGTAATGTCTATGACCTCCTTATTGTCATCAACCAGACGAGCTTTTGTTAAAGAAACTATGTTCGTTGTGAAGATGTATGAACAATTGGGCGCGATAGAGAGAAACCGACCGACCGACCGATCTATCACACACATCAATTACGACACTGCACTCCGTTATGAAGGTTTACAAAAAATCGCCTTTGTTGCGTATCAATCTATCAGCCAATGTGTCGAGAAGAGGGTGGTGGGAGGGGCGGGGGTATTTTCACCGTCACAAAATCGAAAAACTCACAAATTTTTAGATTTCTAATTTCATAGGTTGCACCGCTCCACCTTAGACGACATAGATATTTGCAGTGATGGTATCTACTTAGGCAAACACTAGAATTTTTAAGGTCTATACTAATAAGGAAGGCACTTGGTGCAACAGATCGTGTCGCCTACAGTAATCCTAAATTCTGCAGGGAAGAGCTGCGGGGCCAGGTGCAGCAAGCCCCGGCCAGGAGTTGGCCGCAAAAACCTGTCTTTTTACTCCGGCCGATGACGCAGTCCTCATAGACAAAAATTAGGGGGATACTACTAAAGGTGCTAGTTTTGGAGACCAATCCCTGGCCAGGAACTGCTGCAGCCGGACCGCGCCCGCTGCGGTGGATGAACACTTCGCAATTGCTCCTCAATTGCCCATTCTCGAAGCGAAAACGATCTATTGGTTCATCCACCCCTGCAGAAATCGGGATTACTGTAGGCAGCACGAAAAATTCCACCTAAATCCCTTTCCCTTATTAGTATAGACCCGAGAAGATCACCATGATCTGCCAGTTTATATCCAAAATTATCAAGAATTTCCAGCACCACAACCCGACGACCTGCACCGCCACCTCCAGCTCCAACCACTCGACCAGCTCCTTCCACAACTAGAGCTCCTCCTGCAACGACAACAACTCGCGCACCAGTACGTAGCAGCTCTCCCAAGCGCGGCACGATGTCAAGCAATAATCCAAGATCCGCTAGTATCGGCCGAAGAGATGTGGAGAGAGAAACTAGTCGTTTCTACAGAAGGTCAGCTCCAACAATGCAGGATGTTAGACAGTGGTCGAGATCTCTTTTACAGACAATTCTAACCGGAGAACAGTGGATTTGGACGCGGTAATTCGATCAAATCTGGCGAATGTTTGTGTTCCGCGACTGGACGAAAGCAATTGCGAAAGAATACTTGCTATAATGCATACTTCAGGTGAATACCTTGATTCTACGGTATTTTTTCCCATTGAGAGGGTTTTATAATCTTCATAATACTTAAGGACCATGGACGGGACATGCAACAATCTCCAGCATCCATTGAGAGGAGCCGCCTATCGCCCTTATACTCGTCTTTTGCCAACTGTTTATGACAATGGCCTCTCGGAACCAGTCGGTAACGACTTGGAGAGACTTTCTAATCCTGAGAGCTTCACCTTTTTTCCTGCTTCTATAGCCACTTCTGTTCAGGATCAATGAACCCCCAACTGCGCCCATCTCCTCGAGCAATCACTCGACATCTCACGTCCTCTCATGCCTCGGTTGTCTCTGAGGACTACAACGCTATGGTTATGCAGTTCGGACAGTTCATTTCACATGACATGGCAAAGGTAGAGCTAATTTGACCTTGGAAACCTGTAATGAAGCCACTACCCGCTTATGCTATGTGCTGTTCCTATGCCCCATC